TCAAACATGAATGCTTTTCAGTTGGTCTTGCAAAATACCTTACAAAAATTAAAACTATTGTGACGCCAAGATTTTTTTCATGAGTTTCAGTTTCTTGGTGCATGCAGTATTTTGAGAATGTTTGAGAAATTTGTTTTAAATAGTTAATCACTAAAGCAACCATCTTAATTTTTCATTATTCTGAAACCCTTGGAACTCCAGATGTTGACATAATTAATTTGTTTTTTCCTGAGTTTAGAACAGATTTGAGCTTGCTTTAATTATAGAGTTATGAAAGTGAAGTCTTGCTTCTTTTTCAGATGAAGTTTAGTCTCTTAAAAATCCACTTTAAAAACCAACTAATAAGGCTTTTAGGACATATATTATTATAACGGATAGGAAAAGATTTGAAATCCCTGCCAGTTCCTATAGTTCATTGTCTGGATGGAAACTGAGTCCGGAAATATTCCCCAGCTCTTTGTCTCTGCTCCGACGGTCCTGGTGTGAGCTGGAATTTCCACGTTGGAAAAGAAGGCAGTGATTAGTGCCACAGTATGTTGTCCTCATGTGGCTTTGGAGCTCAGACAGGTGACAAACTCTGGGGAGTCCACCCAAAATATGACCAAATAAACAAACGTAAAGCATGTCCTTGCTTCACACTGACTTTGTTTTCCATTAGTGAATTAGTACATCATTCGTCATGTCATCAATCTTTCTAATTACCTCAGCGAAGGAGGTTGTGTTTGGTTGTAACCCTAACAAATTCTTTGGTCTTATCTGGCAGAGAAGTGGACATTACTAAAATTCAATATCAAGGCTTAAGTGTGAAGCTGCCTTTATTGCTCTTTTTGAATAATTTATCTGCTGACTTTGGATTATTATTGTACTACCATTGTGGTCAACCGTACGGGATTAATTATGTGTGTAGTGTTTTGAATTTGGGATAGAATTCAGACTCCATCTTCATAAGTAGTTTCTCATTAATTTTACCCGAGCAGTAGTAGTAGGAGTAGTGGCAGTAGTAACTTTCAGCAGTAGTAGTAGCGGTAGTAGTAATAGTAGTAGTAGCAGTAGTAGTAGCAGTAGCAACAGTAGTATCAGCAGTAGGAGTAGTAGTAGCATTTCCCATTCTTTTAGTATAAGCCATAGTTTTCACTGTAGAACTAGTAGTAGTAGTGGTGGTGTCAATAGCATTCATTGTAGTAGAAGGAGTAGTAGTTGTTGTAGTAGTAGTAGTAGTAAGCAGCAGCAGCAGTACTAGTAGCAGTAGCATCTGCAGTAACATTAGAAGTACAGTATATGCAATAGAGGTAATAGCATTAGCCACAGCAGTGTTATTGAGTGAAGAGTGCGATGTCTGGTGGTAAACTCTCGGCTTGGAGCCATTTCTCCCAGCTGTGCATCATTTGAATCTTTGACCTTGCTGCATGTCTTCTCTCCCTCTCTCCTTCTCTCTTTTCTCTCTTCTTTTTCATTCATTCTTTCCGTTCTGAGTCAGCAGAACCCAAATACGCACTGATCTTATTCCCGACTCACGCTTTGAGCTTTGAGTTCAAAAGTCTGGCTTTGTGTGTAACTCTGAGAGCAGATGTTTTTCTGTTTGTTTGAAGTGGCCACAGATTGACACAGATGAGGTCAGACTGAACCAATCACAACCAAAGAACACAGCAATTAAACAAAGATGCTTTTCTGGGTCACTTGGCCCTGGTTTTGTCCCGGTTCAGCTGGTTCAGTCTGGCTCAGCAATGTCCTTTACGGGAGACAAATGTATTGTTAAATATTATGACAGCCACTTGTCTTTTGTCTAAGAAATCTATTTTAAATTATTTACACAACTTTTTACAAATTCCTCAGTGGATTTAGGGTATGAACTGTTTTATAGCTAAATAAGAACTGATGATTTTGTTTGGTTTCATTGTTATTTTATATTGAATCTGATTTTGTATTTAAATGTTTTTAAACTCAATCCAAGACTGACTAGGTCTATTAAAGGTGCATTGTGTAACATTCTGTGGAGAGGCAACCCCACTCACTGTCAAAATTACTGTTTTTATAGGTATTTTTGTAATATTTTGTAATTTAATAAATGTAAGGTAGAGTTACATTGTGCACCTTTAACATTCAATTTAAACAATACCTTTTGTGTTTTAAACAATAGTTGAAGCTGGTAGCTGGATAATGAAGCAATTTACTTTTCCTTCCCTCATCCAGTCTTAGTTCAAACTCAACTTCTCCTGTTTTACTTCTGGTTTAGTCAAATGTGTTTTAGTATTTTAATGGATGCATTACTAATTCAACTGGAGCCATATCTAAATATGAAATCACACTTCAGAGGAATGGCCCCATTTTGGTCTTTCCTTTGTCTCATATAGTCTTACATCATCCGCAATAGTTTCTAGTGTATTTAATGTTTTAATTAATATTTTAACCTAAATCTCACTGGCGCTTTGAGACCTTTAAATAATTAACAGTCTCTATAGTAAAAGCTGCCACAAGGTTACACAGTACTATCCTTCGGGGCTGCTGTAGTTTATCATCTGACAAATCTGGCAAAAAGACTGTGTCAAAGTGTTGTCCCTGAAGAGACTTGGAAAACCTTCAAAACAAGCAGTCCCCAAACACACCACCTGATCATGTGACGGGCCTGTCTGTATCAAGCATCTTTCCGTTTGCACATGTTTCCTCTCATGTTTTTGAATACAATAACAAGGAAAGAATTGTAAATGTGATTCTCAAGAAATGCATTTGCAACTTTCAATTCATCCATTCTCTTTTCTATACTAGGAAAATATTACTAAGAGTTTGCACAAGGCATTGCTTTTACTTTTATATGCTACACTGCAAAAATGAAAATCTAGCTAAGTTAAGTTGACATGAATTAAGAAAGTTTTATCATGATTTGAGTAAATTTCACATGACAAGTAAAATTATCTACCAGTGGAACATGACTTTTTGGCCTTAAAATATGAAAATACATCTTGTTACACAGACAAGAAAAACAACAACTCTTTTGCAGTTAAAATAAGAAACTAAATCTAATGTTGATTGAATTAAGAAAAACACGCTCATTCCATTGATTGATTATTTTACTTGTCAAGTTGTATCTACTCAAATAAAGTCAATGTTCTTAAGTCATTTTAACTTACCTAAATATTGCTTTTAGTCCTACTATTCAGCAGATTTTCCAAAATAAGACTGGTTATGACCCGATTGCCAACTCTAGTCACAGGACAATGAGGCTGGTTTGGAAGGGCATCTGATGTAAAATTCTGCCAGATTTTGTTCTCTGCAGCAGACGATTTGAATGAAAAATCTCCCTCCTCCCATAACAGGACTTGAGTGTATCTGGGAGTATTCTAGTAAAACAATAGCACATACAGATAACACATAATATATTTCTGTATGCTGTCCCTTTAAGAATAGCGTGTTTCTGTTTTTCTGAGGGAGACCGGACGCAGCAGGAAGTAAACAGGAAGTGGTCTCCGGAGGTGTCAAACAGAGTTCCCCGGCCATTTTTACTCATGATTTAGCCGGCAACAGGCCAAGAGGGGGAAGTTCAGATATGGAGATTTCTGAGGCCTGGGAGGAAAGTGTCTACAAGCCTAGAGGGACAGACAAAACATCAATCACCTAAACAACAGTGAAATTTATTTAGAATCAGTTTAATAATGAAATTTAACTGTGCATTCTGTCGCTTTTTTCCATCTGCTTGTCTCCATGACGATGTTATTGCTTTTCCTGAAACATCAATCTCATATCAATCTTACATCTAGTCAATTACAGATGATATACATTGAAAAACATGCATTGTTGCTGTGAGCAGGTGTGCCGCAATGCAAAGATTGATTGTTGAATTTTATTGTCATGCTGTGGTATCGGGCAAAACAATAATATCACCATGGAGACAAGCAGGTTTTGTTGTATGAGTTTAAATGAGTTACATGTAAACTAATTCAATTTACTTTTCATATCTTAAAATTAGGGAACATTTTATTTTGCCATTGTATATGAACTCATCGTTTAATCAACAAGGTTCTATTCATTGCATCTCTTTCACTTATTTCAACTGGTTGAAATTATAATATGATATTGTAGTATGGACCACGCCTGGATGAATGACAAATTACATGAGGGATTGCACCAGATAGTTTCCAATCACAATGTAGCGTCAAATTTGAATCAAACACCACAACATCTAATAAACAAATTACTTGAAAGGTTCCATATTAAACAAAACTTGTGAGCTTTTAGCCATGTTATAATGCAGTTACCTCCTCAAAATCGTACCCAAAGTTGTGTTTTGTTTCATTCACATATGTTTGAGTAATTCTTTATCAGTACTTTACATCTCCATAGCTCGAAATGCTGTGTTCCACCTTGTGATGTCATGAAGCTGTAGTTTTCAAGTTAACCTTTTATCTTTAAATCAGTAAAGATTGGCAATTTTTGGGTGAAATCATCAAAATTATTCTAGCAAAGATATATTGAGTTTAAAAACACAGTGCAGCACATTTCAGATCATAAAATAGCATAATATGGGCCCTTTAAGGTTGCAAAAGTAGGTTTAAGCTTTCAGTGGCTCAAAGTTGTGCTTCCAAACATGTGGTTCACTTCCTTGCAGCCTGTGTGCTCTGCAGTCTGCATCAGCACATGTGGGATGCTCTGAACCAGTGCAGCCTGGTGCTTTTGTGCATCTGCTGTTTGAGGTCTGATGTGCACCTTGTAGAGGAGGGACTTATAGCAGACACTACTCCACTATTAAAGACTCAAGGACTCTACTGTATATACCTACGTAGGAATCATAAGAGTTTATTTATTTTAATTGTTGATATTTTGTTGGGTTTGGGACAGATCCGAAATATAGGCTATTTCAAGGTAATATTTTTCGAAATGTACCATCTTTCACAGTTGAATTTCAAAATTTCTGTATTTTAGCAACATGAATGTACCATGTTTTATAGATCACAGGGAATATGACTTTGCTGGACTAATATTGTTCTCCCTCTTTTGTCTTTCTATAGATTGTCCCCATGAACCACCGCTTCAGCTAAAACCAAACTGAGCATGTACACTGCAAACCAATTGGTAAGATATATATATATATATTTACTTAATGATAAAATATTTTCTAACATACAATAAGAAGTTTTTATCTTATGTTCCATGTATTACTTATCAACTGAGCCCTGCTTTGGTTACAGTGCTCATATTGCGCCATTTTCTGTTTGTGTTTCCTTATCAAAAACATACCTGGAGTTGTATTTTGTTTCATTCACACTCACAAAACCTGTATTAGGCTGAGTTCTTCTCTCATAGAGAAATCGCTCAGTTCCACATTGTGATGTCATGTGGTAAAACAGGAAGGACTCCACGGTGTTTGTAAACTCCATACACCTTCACTAGAGTCATTTGGATGATTTCAGAGCTGGAATTGCCAATCAATTCTAAAGGTAGCTGTTAACTTGAAAACTACTGCTTAATGACATCACAAGGTGGAACAGAGCATTTTGAGCTTCAGAGAGATCAATAATGCAGGATTACTCAAACATGTGTGAATGAAATAAAACACAACTCCAGGTAATATTCTACCATGGTTTAAAGCTCACAAGAGTTACTTTTCTGTAATATGCGACCTTTAACCATGCTGACCCACATCTAACCATATCCGTCTATTCGATTGTATTGCATTTGAAGTGATACGTGCTTGGATTATTGTGGTAATTGTTGAAAGCTGGTTTGTTACTGGAGTTTCCTCCCAGTTTCTGTGCCTTGAATAGGCCAAACCCAGTCAGGTCTGTCTGGTTTGCACAGTCATCAAAGTCAATTGTAGACTTCAATGGCTTTCTGTGTCAGATTATTGACCTGAAATGCCCCGTTACATCATGTTTTTATTTAGGTTTCAAATGGCTTGGTATCTGCGTGGGAGTCTCCATGAATGAATGTGAAACTTTTTGTGTTAGTATTCCTTATTCAATTCCATAATACATTATCGAGTTTGCCACCAGACACCGCACTCTGCACTCAATAACACTGCTGTGCCTAATGCTATTTCTTCTATTGCAAATACTGTACTTCTAATGTTACTGCAGATGCTACTACTACAACTACTACAACTATTACAACTGATACTACTACTTCCACTACTACTGTTACTGCTACTGCTACTACCACTATTACTGCTACTACTACTACTACAACTTCTACTACTGTAATACTGTTACTTAATGTGCAAATATAATATATCAAAAGAAAACACTGAGTAATTGTCCTGCAGACAGATGCAGACAGTAGATTTATTTTGACCTCAAGAGCTACTTATAAAATACATATGTTCTTAGGTGAGACAAAATTTGCTCAAATACATCAAAAGAAATCAGTCAGGAGCTCTTTAATTCATTTTACTATTACCTCTGTCTTTGTCTTAACCTTAAATATGACTATTAAAATGTCTGCTGGCACTAGAGAGGAAAAAATGCTTGTGATTTTGCATTGACAGTTATAATCACCACTCACATTAAAATTGGCTTATCCTGGCATCCTCTTGATAGCCTTGAAGCTTTCTGGGGAAGCCATATTGAAAAATACCCTTTCCACCCAGCACGCTCCTCTGTTTGTGTGTGCGTGTGTGTGTGCGTGCATGTGTGTTGAGTACTTTCAGTGCGGAGATATAAATAGAGAGTTGTTGACCTCCCCAGTCTTCTTCTCTCTCTGCTCCGGTCAGGCCTCCCTCTGTCCCTCTCTGAGTGGAGGAGATGGCTGCAGCTGCCACAGACAGGAGCATGGACAAATTAGGTTTCTAGGCTTTTTTTTTTACACAATAGCATGAGGAAGGACTAAACAAAGAATCAACATTTAAATGTGATTATAATTATTGTTCCAGTCAATAACAAAAACAGTGTAATCAAAGTAACATTAAAGGTGCACTGTCTTGATGCAAATGTTAATGTTTTTCACCAGAATGTTCTGCAGCATGGCATTTAATTTAACTATCCAAATTCAGATCTAAATTTATATAGCACATTTTACAAACAAAGCAGTTTCTTAAGTACTACACATAACATCATCAAAACTATTTACATGGACACAAGCAGGCCACGTGACAAGGCCAAGTTACAGGTCAGATCTGTGGAGAAGTGAGCACGTTCACAGTGTTCACAGTAATAATGCATGTTTTTATTATAATTTTGAGAAATAGAGACACTTGTAATTGAATAAATGCAATAGATATATATTTTTCAATGCCATACTGTGGAACATCTCAGACAAAGCAATAACATCACCATGGAGACAAGCTATTGGTAGATCCTCCATCAGAAAAGTTGCACAGTGTACCTTTAATTATGTTCTTTTCTGAATGACAGGCATTTGTTCTGCCCCATAAAACCTTAAGCCAAGGCACTTGTTGAGTCAGTTGAGTCAGTCTATTGTAGCTTTAGAAAGATGAATCACAAAACATACAGTAACTAATATGACCGTAAGTGTAAAGGTAGGCCTGTCGCAATGATTACAATATCAATTTATCATTCAGTATATGAAAGCTGGAACAATATGTTTTAGAGCTCAGTATTTTCAGGTGTACAATTTGTTTGCAATTTGGGAGATTTTTACCATTTTTATGTAATAACCTAAAATTTGAGCTGTAGAGGGTTGAATAAATACTGTTGCTAATTATTGGTTTATTCTGCCATTTGCTGCAGCTCATTTTAATAAAACTGTATATTTAAAAATTGGTTTTCTGGGACTATCCTGCTTTATGTCAGGGGCATAAAGAAGTTTCAATATTATCATTCATCGCAGTCTTTCTCTGTAGCAATATATCATGCTTCAATATTTGTTATCATGATTCGTGACAGGCCTTTGTACCAGTACACAATTAAACCTTTATGGAAAGGGGTTTGCCACTTGCTGGTTTCCAGGGAGATGTTATTGCTTTGTCTAACATTCTGCAGTACGAAATTTAACTTAATCTATCTTGCATTTATGATTATTATTTTTTGGTACATTTTCTTACTGCTAAATGAAATTATTTGAAAAACATGAAAGAGGGGATGTATTTTATAATATTTTGTAATCAAAAGAGTATTATAAAAGTATTTGTTTTTTGTTAGTCATGCAAAGTAGTTTTGCTTAAGATTGCATAATAACATTTTGTGATAGCGTTGCAGCATTCTTTGTATTTAAAGGTGCACTGTGTAACTTTTTTGGTTGGGAGTCTGTCTTGCGCTGCCAAGAAAAACAGCCTGACTGTGAGTGGGGTTGCCTCTTCACAGATTTGACCTGCAGCTTTGTCTGGTTTGGTTTCCATGAAGACTGAAAGCTTTAATACCAAACAAAGCAATAACATCTCCATGGAGAAAATAATTTGATCCACCAGAAAAGTTACATAATGCACCTTTAATGTCTTTTCTCGCTTGACGTCACCTCAGTTCTTGTTTTGCTTGGTCGTGATGTGAAAGTTTGTTTGAATGTTGCAAATTTTGAAATCACCAAACTGTTTAAACATACCTCAATTATGGGACACCGCAGTATGTTGATGGAACTAAACAGCGAAACTCTCTCCTCCCTCTCTCCTACACGATTTCCTTCACATAGTTACAATCCCATGTAATATCAGGGTGTACAAAGCTCTGGTCTGACTCATATTTGCATGCGGACAATGTTGAAAATTCACGCAAGCTTGGGAACAGGTGCACAACAGCTGAGTTCAAAATATTAACTGTGCATTGATTTGGGTGAGTGGCAGTGAAAAGCAAATATCTGGATCTTATTAGAGAAGTTTTGTACACGCCAATAGCAAAGCATGTGAAATTAGTCTAAATATTAACATCTAAAAGAACAGTTGACTAAGGTTGTGCAGTAAGTGGCACGCAATGACTCCTTAATGCGTATTTGGGAAATTCCAAGTTTCAAAACAAAACTCATCTGTTTATACGTTTTTCATTTGTCTCGCTCAGTGTATTACACAATCTGTATCTAGAAACCTCCTTTTTGGTTCTTTGTTGTCTGTTACTTCATTACGCACTTCTAAAACATATAATCACACCAGAAATTCCTAATAGTACAAAGAAATTACAAAAAATAAAGCTGCATTTTGTAACTTTTTTGATGGAAGGTTCCTCAAATTATATTTTCTTCATGGAGATGTTATTGTTTTATCTGGAATGTTTCACAGTATGGCATTAAAACTTTCTATCTTCATGGAGACCAAACCAGACCAAGACCAAGTTACAGGTTAGATCTGTGGAGAGGCGACCCTGCTTACAGTCAGAATGCCTGTTTTTCTGGGTATTTTTGAGATATAAAATCCCCCGTAAACTAATAAATGTAAAGAAAAGCTATTTAATGTCAGACTGTGGAACATTCCAGATAGAGCAATGACATATCCAGATAAACAAACAGGTGACAAACCCAACCAAAAAGTTACACAGTGCATCTTTAAGTTGCTAATAACTGATCATATTTTTGCCTTTTTAACGATGCAAGAAAGGCTGTCTGTTACTGTGCACCTCCACTGAATACTGAAGCAGTGTTATCCTTCAAAATATTGCTGACATAACACCCAATGCATTATGGGTAAAGGTCAGAGTCATGGACATTAAAGCGGGTTGAAGTATAGATTAACCCTGTAGGTCAAGAGGTAGCAGTAGTCATGGTATTACAAAAGCCGGACACCCGGCCGGTAACAGATGACAAATTTTACTGTAAATCTGCCAGCACAGGAATCTGAAATTAGCCAATCGGAGATGACGTAGACTAAGTGCTCTGGTTCCTCTTCATTTTAAAATTAAAGGAGACGTTGAGACTGACAGATAATTTGTGGTTAACCAAAGCCATGGCCTATTAATACTAACGAGCAAGATAATAATAAACATTAGCTGTTGTGTAGTATTGAGTGACAAAGCAAATTCTCAAGGTGCACTGTGCAACATTTCTGGTATCTGTCCTTTGTTATGTTATTATTTTGTCCGGAATGCTCCAGGGTATGGCATTAAGTAGTTGTTGATGACAAAGAGGTGATGCCACAAGACCAAGTTGAAGATCCACCCACTAGAAAAGTTACACAGTGTACCTTTAAATAACTGTTC